CCTTCAATATTCCTGCATGAAAGTCCCAGTCTTAAACCCTGCTTCCTGGGAAGAAGCCTTCAACAACATTTAACTTAACACAGCATTTATTCATTTATCATTTTTTATGCTTCATTTTTCTTTCTTACCTGTATAACATGAGATCCTTGAGAGTTGGAATTTTTTTTTCTAGATACAAGTCCCACACTCCCCAACCCAAGGCAGATCCCAGCCTATCAAAAACATTAAAGAAATATTCAAATAATGCTTAATTTATTAATTTTATACTTTGGAAGTAATGTCTGGTTTCAAAACACTATGGTGCCTTTAAAGATGCCTTCCTTCCATGGTATCTTCTGTGTGACTTAAAACTTATTAAATCTACTCCTGAAAACTATAGTTCTCATTTGAAATATATCCAGTCATCATCCTGAGAACTGCTGTACATTTTTAAAGTTTTGTAATTTTCTAAATCACATACCATATACATCTGATTTTTCTGCTCCAAGAGATGAGAATAATGGGAAGGCAATGTCACAACCCAAAGATGAATACTATCCATGATCGTTCTTTAATGCTTCTTAGCATAGCATCAGTGCATTTTAAAATTTACCTTGACAAGATGTGGACTCTGTTTGTGCTTCCTAGTTTTTACCTTTTGCTTCTTTTGATTGCCCTATACTACTTTTAGCCTAATCATTTACCTAATGACCTTGAAAGTCTACATTTCCCTTTACATAGCTATCATTATTATAACTATGTCTATACCTTTTGGCTTTGGACAGAATTTGTTTTAGGTATTGTGATGGACAGAAGCACCACCCAGACGTCTCCTCAGCAGATAACTCAGAAGTTGCGGGAGCCGTTGCCATGCACTCCCGGTCTCTTCAGTGATTGTTACCTGCCAAGAGCCATTTTCCCATGGGTCATACCTTCACCTGAGCATGCACCCACATAAAGTGACTTACTAAATTCTTTTGCACAGTGCAAGAACACCATGATGACCTTTCCAGCTAAGATTCTCATCCATTCTGCTTTATAGCTGAATTTCGCTTTCTTCCCAGTCTTATTTCCCAGGGTAGATTCCAAGACACTCCCTAATATGCACACAAAACCTAAATGCTATCTCATATTCTGCTTCCAAGAGCTCCCAGACTGTGTAGTAGTTCATATTATATTTCTATCTCTGCATCTCACTATTGTAACAAGACCCTGTGTCATATGGCAATGGGCACAGCTCTAATAATTTCTTTTAGATGAATATGTGATTTTCTAAGGTTTACTTGAACTAATTGGCTCATTCTGGTTGTTCAAAGTTGTTGTTTTAATCATGTTTTGTACATGTGTGATCATGTTTGTGTGTCAGTGCATGTGCACATGTTATTGAACACATGGAGGCCAGAGAACAACTTATGGAGTTATTCTTCCTCAGACACCATTCACCTTGTTTGAGACAGGGCCTCTTTTTGGTCTGTTTACTAGGCTAGGCTGGATGGCCAGTGAGACCTGGGATTACAAGCATTCCTCAGCATACCCATTGTTTTTGCATGAATTCTGACCTTGAGCTAAGGTAACCAACTTTCCCAACTTCTTCTTCTTCTTCTTTTTTTTTTTTCAAGACAGGGTTTCTCTGTGTAGCTTTGGTGCCTGTCCTGGAACTCACTTTGTAGCCCAGGCTGGCCTTGAACTCGTGGAGATATGCCTGCTTCTGTCTCCTGAGTGCTAGGATTAAAGGCATGCGCCACCACCACCCAGATCTTTCCCAACTTTTATCTTCCAGGACTCTCCAAATTTTTAGAACAAAAGTTCTGAAATAAATAAACAACCCCATCATAGACCAATTTAAGCACAAAATTACTTCCAAAGATCCTATTACCATTCTCACTAATGAGTTCTTCTTGGTTTGATGAAATCCTTAGAGGTTCATTTATTTCTTCTTATGCTTTCTTTTTCACTACCAACACAGGCCAATAACTTAAGAAATTTTTGGTTGGTGCATATAGAATTAAATCTCTATGTATTTTATGCCATTGTTCTTTCTCTGATTTTGTGAAATATAAGGAAGTATGCTATCAATATTATTTATCTGAGATAAATGTAATAATATCAATTTACTTTTTCATAAGTTTAATTCACATGCACTGAAAAGCATTTTATATTATAAAATTTGAAATAATAAAGGATAGATTAGAATCTAGACTATACTAAATATTGCATAACCAGTATACAAGAAGCTCAAATTATTTCAAGCATCTTGGTTTGTAAGAAGGGACTGAGTGAGAAATAAAGACTTTGTAAGTTCCTTTTTTTTGGAAGAGGATTGTAAATAGAGAAGATGGTCTGTAAATCACTATAATTATTTTTCATAGGCTTGGATTTCCCTTCTTATTGGAAATGTGTATATGTATATCACTATACTCCCTTTTTCCCCATAAAATTTGTTAATTTTGAGAGAAATTCACCTCTACCCTGCTCCGTGAAAGTAAATAGCTGATTCATATGTGGGCTTCATGATACCTAACTAAAGGTATTTACCTCCTTATGAGATTTCCATTGTGTTGGCCATCACCAGAATATAGTTCTACACCAAAATTAAAGAAGTAGACATAGATAAAACCTCTGACTTAAATCAAATCTTAAGCTGCAGAAAAATAAAACAGAAAGAAATGTGCACACACAAAAAAAGTCATAGTTTCCAAGAGTCAGTTCACATACAAATAAGGGCTCTTGATTTGATGTAGAATTAATTAGTGCTATTTTTTTCTCCTTTTTTCCTTGCCCAGAAATCAAGTTCCTCAGCTGTTGGAACCCACGAGTCTTCCTTAATACTATAGCAGAAACATAAAGAAGGTTTTTGTTTTGTTGTTGATGGTTTTCGGTTGATTCTGGTGTGCCTTGTAAGTGATATTCAGATCTGTTGTATAGTTTCAAAACTTCAGGGTTTTTTTTTCTCTGTTTTACATGGATTCTATTTGACAGCATTTAACCTTTGGTTTTATCACCTTTTCCTTGGTGCTTTCTTCTTGAATTACTTCTTCTATCCTGTCTAGCAACCCTGCTAACCCAGGTTTATGGCACTCTGACTTCCATCATCGTTCATCTTTTCTTCAAGTAAAAATAGATACAACTCAGCCTAGAATCTCTTACCTCTGGGAGATTAAACTGTAAGCTGGAGAACAGTCAATGGAATGGAGGTAACAGAAAGCCTCTAAGAGAAAATACAAAGGAGGTAAGGAATTCTGAGGGAGGTCTCTCAAAATCTTCACCCTATCTTCCAGGCAGCAGAAGGTGAACCTGGGAGGGAGCCAGCAGTGGTCCCATGTTTCTGTGCTTTGTAGAACAGCCCAGAACAAAAGATTCGCCATCCATTAGACAGTCTAACAAGTAGCATTTAGGGATGGGCTGTTAGATGATCTAATAGTAAGATGGATATTCATTCACTTGGCAATTTTGTATTAAACGTATCATTCAATAATGTCTTTACTAACTTTCATTGATGGTTCACAACCTAGGATGGTGTTATCCCATTTTGGCCATTTAAAATAGGTAGGGACATTTTTATCATTACAATGATGGACATGTATGCCTTGTATACTGATGGCAGTGATCAAAGCTGTAAACTGCGGAATTCCTGGAAATTCAGCCCAATGAAGAATTGGTTTATACAGTTTGCCGCCGAGGGGCCAACTGAGAAAGACAGCAACATGGATAGAGACAGGTTGTCAGCCAGTTGTGACCCCCTATTTTACATATCGCTAATAATGAGCTACCTTTAGCAAACAGCAGGGACTGCAGCACTGTCACCTCCACCTTTGGCCGTGTAAATAGATTCTGAACGTTCCAAAGCTGTCTGTTTAGTGTCAAGGAGAAAGGTCAAAATAGCTCTTTAGTATACAAAGTCATAAAACAAATAATGCCCAGCTGAGTCAGCTACTTTCCATTTACTCGTCAGATGAAGTTTCTTGGCTTCAGAACACACACACACACACACACACACACATGCACGCACAAATGCACGTACACACACACACACACACACACACACACACACACACACACACACAAATGAAACAGACCTCCCCAATTCAGAGACATAATGTCCCTTAGACCAAATCTGAGAAGACTCAGATTTATCTCTGAATATAAACATAAACGAATGGATATGCATACAAAAGTTGTCATGCAAATTACTAACCCCAGCAAAACAGACTATGTTTATCAAAAGAAAAATTATTTGAAGAGAAGTTTAATAAATATGTAAGTGATGCCTTATCACAGGGCATTCTCAGATTCAGACACAGATAGCTAAGAGATGCATGATCATCAATGCAGGGTGAGCACCATGAACAGCAAATGTTGATTACATTGGCTGAAACTTCTTTTTCCATCTGAAAAGATTTTCAGCTGCTTGGAAAAGTATTCTTATGCTTTTGTGAGTGGTGAGAGATTTAGACACTTACATCATGATTTGAAGATTGCACCTGATGGAGTGAGTAACTGGCAGCCATGGAATGTTCTGAATAGCATTTCATGGACTTCTGGGACAGGGGGGTTGGTTCAAAGATTCCAAGTTATCCATTCTTCTATGATGTGCATCTTTGAATAAATGCAATTTCCCTTTAAGGTTTCAGATTTTACAGCCATCTAAATACTTTGTTTCCAAGTGACTAGTTCCTTAGAATATATACTTAATATCTGAATATTTCTCATGTTATTTTGAAATTCATAGCAGTAGAAGTACTTTTTATTTCTTCTATGACTATATTAAATGTACTGTATATGCCAGCTCCCCTACCCCCCTTTTTTTTTCTTCTTAATCCCAAAGCAGGATCTTGCTACTGCTCTTGCTGGCCTTGAGTTGATTGTGTAGCCCATCCTGGCCTCCAGATCACCACCCTCCTTCTGCAGTCTTCTCACTGCTAGGAATAGAGTTGTCTACCACCAGGTGTGGCTTTTATGTGTTAACTTCTACATTCTAAAATTTTACTTAAAATTACTTTCCTTCATTTTCTTTTTGCACTAGTGAATAAAGGAAATTTCTACCATGTAAAAGAGACTCAATGCAAAAATATGGACTGCAAAAATTTCATTCATTAGGTAAATATTGAAATAATATTCATACAGATTATCTCACTCTGACTGTTATTTCAACTTTTAAAGATGTTTGATTTCTCTCTCATATCTAACTAAATGTCTAATTAATACTTTAGTCCAATTTGGGGTGTGACTTGAAAAAAAATACAGGGTCATAGAGACAGGAAAAGTCACAAGGGGCTGACTTTTCCATGGACAGTTTGTTGTCTGGTAGCATTAGGTGTTGTTCTAAAAAGTCTGATTCTTTAGATAATGTATAGAGCAAATAAGTATTCATTTGCTTTTTATCTATGCAAAAATTAGTACATATAATAAATAAAGTCCACGATTCCATGGCATTTTAATGTTAGGTATTGTTGGAAATGAAAGGATTGGGACCTTTGATATCACAAGAAGTGTTCCTGGAAGTTTGTCAGGTCTGCTTCTCTGTGGACCTAGACAGAGTGTAGCTTACTGAGGCTTCTAACCTCTCAAGGTCTCGATGAAATTTGTTAAGTGAAAATGAGTTTCAGAATTCAAACCCTGTGTTTTCCTGACTCTCTTTGTAAGTACAATGGAAGCATAAAACTTACAATAAAGGAAGAAGAAAATAGATTTCATAACCTTAAAAGAACAGAAATATTCTCTAATTCAGAAATTATGAACAAAAGCATGAGATGACCTCCAATATGGAGAAATATTTCTAGAAATAAACTAAGCAACTATTATATATATATGCTTATATTAAAAACTCATAAAATTCAAATGAAAATTATGACTCACATTTTAAAAACAAGTAGATAATCATATGTGATTCATCAGAGCCAAAGATCATATCTCAATGTCTAATAAATTTATGAAGAGGTACACTAATAGTCTGGGGAGGTTTACTGTTTTCTTTTTCATACTCCAATTTTATATGTTGAAATATTTTATTTTGTAATTTCAATTATTTTCCCTTCTACAGTCACCCTTCTATCTACACCCAGCCCCCTTTTGATTATGTTCCCCTACTTTCCAATGAAGAAATGATAGTAGTCAAATTTTTCCTAACAGTATAGCATCAAATGTACAAATTTACCTGCACTTGTTACTATATTCTGTCTTGCAACTTACAAAGATCATAATGCAGTTATTTCAAAAGCCAGGCATACTCTGCACCAATTCTCTGAATCACATATATACTCAGGTCTTTCCAGCATTATTCCCATGTGCTGAAAAACAGAGTCATCTGCAGATTCACACACTTTAAAAGCAAACAAAAATCTATCATACTAACTTTTATTGCCAGACATCCTGTAAGAATGATCTGGCTGTCTCCATTCTTTTCTACTTGTTTATTCTTTTTCTTGTTGCAATCTAGTTGCTGAAACCACAACCCACAGAATATGCTACTGTCAATTCTATTGGATACATAGAGTCTACTGTTCTAATAATCACTTTCTGTCCATTCTTTGTAGACCTGTGAAACTTCCATCTGTTGGCTCAGAGATGCCTTGGTCATTTAGTATCCAGATTGACTTCCTATGTTGCCTCCTCATCAACCCAGAGTTTGACTCTAGACTTCTGGGAGTGGTGTGCGTTTATTATCTAACTGACCTCCTAGACTTCCATGACTTTGGATTTCATCAAAATTCCATATCTGTGAATTCATATATCTGCTTGTCAACCAATATTAGTTTTCTATTTCATGGAAAATCAAACATGAAAAAGCCGAATGAACTCATTTTGGTGCCATTCCAGTTGGCCAGGGCTACAAAGATACTGTGTTAAAAACAAAACAAAACAAAACAAAACAAAACAAAAAAAGCCTGAAAACGGCAGCTCAAAATAATTGTTATCTCACTCACATGATGGCAGGCTGGCTGGAACTCTTCTGCCTTAGTCTTCCACCCATCAGCAAGATTATGGGGGTGCGTGGGCTCTAGGAGATTGTTCTAGCTTCGCGTTTGAAGAATATTTCCCAGTGAAAACTTCTGATGAAGAAGCTTCCAGTGAGGAGGGTGGAAGAATTATCATACTATGACAAAGTATAGAGCTGACTTATTGACACCTCTGTCACATTGCCTTGACTGAAGTAAGTCACCTGACCAAATTCAGCATCCCTCTAAAGGAAGAAGTGTGTGTGTGTGTGTGTGTGTGTGTGTGTGTGTGTGTGTGTGTGTGCCTCAATAAAGCTTATCTGAGGATCAGAGGAAAAGGCCAGCTGCTATAGTAAACATAGAAGTCAGGCAATGGTAGCTCACGCCTTTAATTCTAGCATTTAGAAGGCTGAAATTCATCTGGATCTCTGTGAGTTCATGGCCACACTGGGAACAGAGCCAGGTATGGTGGTACACATCTTTAATCCCAGCACTAACCATAGAGGTCTGGAGGTCTGTACAGACAAACAGGAAGTGATGTAACTGGGCAGAGACAGGAAGTAAGAGGGCAGGGACAGAAAGGCATATAGGAGTGGGCATACAGGAAGTAGGTCTCTGTTTTGGAGACTGGGGTGTTGGTGAGGTGAGATTGGTTGTGGCTTGTCCTATTCCTCTGATCTCTCAGTTTTAACCCCAATATCTGGCTCTGGGTTTTTTATTAATAAGACTGTTCAATATAT